GACACTTCCTTTTGTTTTCAGGTTTATCCTCCTGAAGTACATTCTTTAATTCTTTAAATGGCAGCATCAGCATCTCTCAATCTTGGTCTAAAAATATTTTTATTTTGCTCTCACATTTGAATGATAGCCAGCGATGAAAATTTTTAACCAGCTTTCCAATCATCTTCTATGATTTTCAAGTTCCTGTTAGTTCTGCAGAGCGAGCTGGTAATGATCTAATTATCGTTGCTTTGTAGATTGCTCTGATTGCTTTGAGACCTATTTCTAATCTCTGAGGTTCTGCACTTTTACTGGAGTGGGTGCAGTTTAAGTCACTCTGCCCGCGACCCCTGTGAGTTTTGAATGTATGATATATGTCTCTCATCAACTCTAGAAAACACTAACTTTCCTTAACTTTTTTATTTTTCTTTGTTAAACTTCTGTTAGATACATATTAAGTCTTTTGAGTCTATCTTCCATGTCTCTTAACATCTTTTTAGTATTTTCTATCTCTTTAACGCTTTGCAGTGAATTCTGGGCAATTTCTCTAACTCTAGCTTTCAGTTTATGAGTTATTTTCTGTTGTATATAGATGTGTTGTTTCATACATTTTAATATATTTTTTCGGTGTATATGAGTACCACTTTTATCATATTTTTCCTTGCAGTTTTCAATACTTTGTCCTTAATAATTGTGAGCATATATGCATAAGAATTTTTGATAGTTCCATTTTAGAAAGTTCTTAGTCACGTCCTGTGACACATGCTCACGGTGGATTTCCAAGGGAGTTTTTCATTTCGAACTCACAGTCCCACTCCATCTGTGGGAATCCTGCAAGAACAAGAGCAGGGCGTGTCCTTTGGGGGGGGGGCTGGCCTTCGCTTCTGCCAGTCTCTCCAGGCTGCCAGCATCCTCAGCTGCAGCCCACTTGAACGTTACTGTCTTAGCATGAGGATTTCTGGACCACCCTGGTGCTATAAATGAGAACCAACTTCAGCCAAGGTACAGACTGTGACCACAGATTCCCAGGGCTCCTCTTTCCCTCCAGATCCAAGACAAAGCAGACCAGTGTCCTCGTTGGCTCCCTCAGATACTGGGTGGGTCCACTTTAGCTCATTGTTTTACTGAACTGCGTAGCCCATAAGGAATCCTAGCTTTAAGCAACAGCTTCGGATCAACCTCTTTGTAAGAAGTAGGCTTTGTGGCTCTGATCTTACCTGTAGTTGTTCCCAGCACAGATGACAAGCCTCTTGCCACCAGGGCGGCCTTGGCCTTGGGTCACATATTTACCAGGGAGGTTTTCCACTCATTCTTCTTCCATTTGGGCCTTAGAGATTTCTTTTCTGTGTTGCTCAGTTATATGTCCAAGATTTCTAAGTATTTTGCAGCAGTTGAGTTCCCAAGTTATGCTAATTCACTGTGTTACAAATGAAAGCCTGATTCTCCTCAGAGATGTAGTTCCTCCATGTTAAGAAGGGTACTGCTTCCCTGGGCAACATATCATCCTCAGCTCCTTCGTGACCTCTCCATCTTTCGCTGGAGTGGACCAGCTCGCCCCCATCTAGGCAGGGCTTTTCACCTCAAGCTCTCAAAGGCCATGGAAAGTCTATAACTGTGCTGCTTTTGAGTCAGGTCCAATCAGATGTAGCTGGAAGAAGATAAGCTCTTATAGTATAAAATGTTCCTAACACTGCCTCACATAGGAAATTGCCTACAGTGATTTGTATGTAGTCCCGAAAGACCCATGGATTAAAGATTTGAGCCCCAGAGCAGAGCTAATGGTGAACCCTCCAGGAAGTGGGGCCTAGTGGAAAGACTTTAGGTTTTTAGGAGTATGGAACCATGGCTCCTCTCCTCCCCTTGTGTTTCTAGGATGAGGAGGTGAGTGGTTTTACATATTCTCACAATGATATGCTACTTTGCCACAGGCCGAAAGGCTTTAGGGCCAATTGCTTATGAGCTGAAATCTCCAAAAGTGTGAGCAAAAACAAACCTCTTTGTATAAATTACTGATCTCAGGCATTTAGTTGTAGTGACAGAAAGCTGACTGATACAATTTCCTTAGAAGGGCCTATGGACACAGAGGGGGCTCCCAGAGACTTTCTAACTGCCTTCTACCCAGCATCATCAGAACCAAATCCCATTGTCCCTGAGCAGTGTGGTACCCAGGAACTAATAAACACGTGAACAAACAGCGAGCTGAACAACCAATAGTCAGAATAGGTCTCAGCTTGAAAGGCAGCCTCTAATGAGCTGCTGGTCAACATTCTTGTCCATGATTTAAACATGGAGATCAAAGTGAGGTTATAAACTTGATGCATGAAGAAAAAAAAACTTGACACATGACACAAAGTTGAAAGGGACAGAGTACACATTCCAGAAACAAGGTTCAATGGCTTCTACTGATTAGAATAAACAAGATTAAACTTAATCAGGATTAGGCAAAGCCCTGAAGTTAGATCCAAAATACCAATTGTGAAGTACAAGATTGCTGTGCCCTGAGTTGGCAGCAATTCACAGACTGGGGACCTGGGGGTTTTAGTGGCCATAATTTTAGTTTGGCTCTGATTAGTCCTGCTCAACTCCTACACAAGTCCTCTGGCCAGGGAGCTCTCCAGTGGGCCCGTCTGTGGGCTCCGAACCTAAATTACCTGGTCTGGTCAGCCTTCCTTCCACGTAGCTCTAGCTTTGATGCTTCTCCCCTTCACGCCCACTTAGCCCCGTACTTTGATGCACAATTTGGTTTCCTGGGCCCTTTCCCCATCTCTCTGCTCCACAAACATTTCACTTGCAGTTTCTGCAGCTCTGAAAACAAGTGCATGCTGGCAACTTTGGAAGAAAATAAGGATTCGTTTTCCTGAGGGAAGAAACAGACTAGGAGAGGCAGAGAGAGCGTCTTCGGACGGAAGAGGGAGTGGACAGGTGCCGCTCCAATCAGAGCTCCGAAGTGGAGAGGCGTCAGTGAACTCCTGCAGAGCACTGTTAAGGCATGAGCACTCACACCAGGTGAGAGGTGCTCTGGGCCATGCCAGGAAGACTTTCCATAAGGCTGCTGTGTCAGGAGTCCCCGGCCTCCATGGGGAACACTGCACAGCGATTGCTGCATTGGATAAGAGGACTGGACTCAGCCAAAGACAAGTTCAGTTTCCCTAATGCCACATCGAACCCAGAACAGCTTTCTCAGAAAGACACTGACAAAGCCGAATCCTTTGGACAGCGGAGGAGGTGACTGACCACAAGCTGTCATTCCCAGGAGGTCTGGGTGACCTACGAAACACCTGCAAGTACTTTCCTACCTGTCTGCTTGGCTGCAGGCCCTTTAAGCTGGCCCAGCCCACTCATAGGCTACACCTGCAGGAGATGAATCCCTGGCTGAAAATAGCATTCAGAGCAGTTTCCCAGAACTTCCTTGGCCTCCTCTGGCTCAGGTTGCATCCCACCCTCCTCAGGCTCCCGCCCTGACTTTACCTTGGTTACCCGAGTTCTGGCTTTCCTGATCCTCTAGGCCAGGGAAACTTCCAGACTTGGAGGCTCAGATCACCCAGAGGACTCACAACAGGGATTGCTGGCCACAGGTTACACGATGCGGCCAGGAGAGCAGAGGAACAGGAGGATTCTCAGCCCCTGAGAGCCTGGGCAGCAGTGGTTCTCCTTAGAGTCGAGCCACAGTCCATATAGGGAGAGGAGCAGACCGGACAGGAGGAAGCCTGGGCGGGCGTGTCCATTCCAAGCACTCCACTCATGGAACAGGGGACTGGGCAGGGGTTGGCAGATGGCCACCGCCGGCAGAACCCAGTGTCAGTCACTATCACAGAAATTATGGCACCAGGCAGCCTCGATACTCTACAACAGCTTTCATCCATTGTCATGTTGCCCAGCCAGGTATGGTGGGGCACACCTGTCACCCCAGCACTGTGGGAGGCCGAGGCGAGAGGATCGAAAGTGTGAGCCCCGCCAGGGCAAGTTAGTGATTCAGTGAGACCATGCCTCAAAACAAACAGATCAATGATAGATGGTAGATGATAGATGACAAATGACAGATGATAGGTAGGTAGATAGATGATAGGTAGATGATAAATAAATGACAGATGATACATACATGATGGGTGATAGATGAAAGATAGACAATAAATGGTAGAGAGATGAAAAGTAAAGGTAGACTGATAGATACATGATAGATGATAGATATGAGGCCCTGAGTTCAATTCCTAGTACTACTAAAAACACTGTTGCTCCCAGTAAACCATTCAGATACCCTGAGAATTATTATATTTCGGTGGCCAAACTGCAATTTCAAAACTGCCCCCTCATATTTGGGATTGGTCCAAAACTCCTGCGTTGACCCAAATCTCCCAGTGGTGTCCGGGAAGGTTGCAGCTAGATCTTGATAGGCAGGCAGGTGCACCTGGTGTTCGTGGCCTCTGCGCCCCCTCACAGGGCACCCTACTGCCCACCCCTCAGCCTCTCCCCACGGCCCTCAGGACCACCAAGGGGCCCGCAGGGAATCTGCAGGAGATGAAGCGTGGATGAGGAGCTGGGTTAAGCTGCGGGTAAGGAAATTGTGGGGCCTCTCAGAGCCCACTGAAGCGGGGGGCTGCTGCCCGCTCTGTCTCTCCGCCTCCGTGGTCTGACCAAGCTGCACTCAGAATGCTGTGGCTGTGAGGCCAGAGACCCAAGGGTGGGAAGGGAGGACAGGACACATGGGCTGGGCATGAGGGACAGGTGAGAAGTATCTGCAAGAGAGAGAAAGGAAGGCTCACACACACATCAAAGGCTCGTGAGAGTCAGTGCTGTGTGACTAGAACACAGGTCTTTAAGGAAGGTGCAGGCCAATAGCTAAATCCTGGAAGTAGGCTATGTGCCCATCTGTAAATGAACAGGTAAAGAAAATGTGGTATTTATGCACAATGGAGTATTATACTGCCACAAAGGATAAGTTGGAGTCATTTTTAGGAAAATAGATGCACCTTGAGATCATAATTTAAACTGAAATAAATCAGACACACAATTTAAATACTGCATGGTTTTTATTTTGGGAAACCCAAAAAGATAGATAATAGGAAACAGAGAGATAGAAGTCTTGCAAATAGGAAGGGGACCAAGAGATGAAGGTAGGGGTGAAGATGTGTTCTGCACATGTAGCAGCTCCCACAAGGAAGGTGATCTTTATGTACTCTAACAATGTGAAAAACAAAAATTGAAAAAAAATGAAGAATGTGATGCATGGCTGAGGAGGCTGCCAAGGTCTTGGACCGTCACCCTGAAGCCCAGTCAAAGAGCTATGGCAGGAGGCGCAGGGGCCGTGTGTGTCTACCCCACTCACCCTGTCCGCTGATGGTGGCCTCGAGGGGCTGCAGGGCGGGGACAGACACAGATTTGGGGTGCAGGACTGACCTGAAACAGCATAGAGGGCTTGGAGAAAGGTGGAGGCCGGTCATCTGTGAAGCCGGGACCAGGCAGGGAGCCAGAATGATCAGAGGAAGACAGGGCTTGGATCTCCGGCAGGAGCTGCTGGGCCATGAGCCGAGTTCTGAGACGGGACAGGGAGCTGCTGCGCAGGGCTGAGGCCGGAAGCCCGCTGAGGGTAAAATCTCACATTGCCACTTGGAAAGCCCTTTCACCACAGCAGAGGAGTCCCATGAAATCCTGGACCCTATGGAGATATGCGGATTGGTGGGGGACGCTGGGGACAAAGGGCAGGGCCTTGCCCATGCCAGGCAGTCTTCTTCCACTGAACCACATCCTCAGCCCCGTTTTATTCTTAACTTTGAGATGAGGTCTTTCTTTCCGCTTCAGCTTTCCAAGTAGCTGGGATTATAGGTGTGCACCATCTCATCTCAGGAGGAGTGCAAGGAATCAGACAGCCCCAGGCGACCGGGTCACACTGGCCCCGCTCACCCTGGGTTGTTCCCACCCGCTCTGGGGATAACCGTGAGCAGAAGCCACAAGGAGTGCTCCAGCCAGGTGCCTCAGTCTACCCCCGAGAGTGCAGCCGAGGGGTCTGGGCTTAGAGAGGGGTGTCTAGGCTTAGAGACCGGTGTCCGGGCTTAGAGACGGGCGCAGGCCGACTTCCAGCTTGCACCGTGGGCTTAGCTGAGGCCTGGGCCTCCCACCTCACATCCTTGAGTTCGCAGGAGACCAAGGGCAGAAGCCTTACTCAGTGTGGGCTTCACGGTGACCATCAAAGTCTCCGCCCTCAGCTAATGACCACTCTGGGCTCTTCAGCGTTTGTCTCAGCAGCCCAGGGGCAGCAGTGGCTCCTGATTGCTGGGTATGTTTCTGGGATGGGGGGCGGCGGGGAGCTGGCAGACAGCGGTTCCAGACAGCTTGGCTCTGAAACACAAACAAGCAGAAACCAGTCACTCCCCTTCCAACCTGCTGGGCCCTAGGAAGGCGGCAGGGTGGGGCCGGGGGAGGATTTCAAACAAGGGCAACATTTACTAGGCTCCTCCGACCTGTGCTAGGATAGTTATTACTCAAATAACTGTTTTGGCTGTTACAAGTGTGTAATTTCTACCCCTGAAGGAACATGTTCTCAGATCCCCTGCAGCTCATTTTGTTAATGCAAAGAGAAGTCAAGGAAGGACTTCAGGCAAGGTCTCACCCAGGTCCTGGTACCCTGAGGGATTCTAGGCTCTGCAGAAACAGCCTCCAAGTGTAGGACAAGGAGAACCCTTCAGAAACAAGGTTAGGGCTTTGTTTGTCTCTCCACCCTCTCCTTAAAATGGTTATTGTTGTCCCCAGGAAGCTTCCATGCCAAATCTCTGAATTCTGGCCCTGCCAAGGCACTGCAAACTGTGTTAGCCAGCTTCTGTTACTATTACAAAATACCTAAGGCAGTCACCTTATACAGTTGGGAGGTTTTTTCAGCTCACCTTTTTAGAGGTTTCAGTCCATGGTTACTCACTCCTTTGGGCTCATAATGTGGCAGCTCATCATGGCTCATTCCCATCTTCTGGTTCCCTAGATCTCTGAGGGCTTCAGTGGGTGGCTATGAAATTCCTGAAGCAAAAGCAATGTGATTCATTTTCACTTGAGAGAAATTAATGCAAAATCATAAAGTGCTTGTGGGGGCCGAGAGGAAGGAAAGCTGTCTCAAAATTGGCAAGTTTGTATAATTTACTCATTTACCCACAGGCTGTACAAGGTCCTGGAGCTGCACACAGCAACCGTCAGGAGGCAGACGGTTGTGACAGTGTGTGTTAGCAGGGTGACAGGGTGCTAAGGCAGGACACACAGGATGTGAAGCCCTGCTGGAGGGTATCAGGAAGAGGCCTGGGAAATGGAGGATTCAACAGCATCTAAGAGCAGTAAGTACAAAGCGGGGCCTTAATCCATTTTCTGTTGCTATCACAGAATGCTTGAGATCTGGTAATTCATAAGTAAAAGAGGTTTGTTAGGGTCATGGTTCTGGAAATCCAAGAATGTGGCACCAGACCTGTGGGGCCCCTGCGAGGCCCCCATGGTGAGATGTGGAGAAGGAGCAGATGTTTGGGGAGTAGTGAAGAGTTAAAGAGGGTTCCCGGCCAGGTTCTTAACAACTCACTCCTGGTAGCCGGACCTCTGGGTCTTGCCACATCCCAGCCTCAGAGAAAGAGCCCACTCCCTGGAGAGGGCTTTAGTCCACCTTGAGGACCCAGTCCCCTCTGATGGGCTCAACACTGGCCGGGATGTGGTTCAGTGGCTGAGCACTCATGTAGCAGCCAGAGGCCTGGATTCCACCCCCAGTGCTGAGGAAATAAAAACAGAAAAATAAAAGCAGAGCAAACGGGCTGCACAGCAGGAAACTGCAGGGAGGACGCACAGACGTGCGCAGCCCTGGGGAAGGTCAGTCTGCAGCCTGTCTGACTGGCCTCAAGGGCAGTAAGTCTGCCCAGGCCTGCCACCTGCCCCTCTGCTGAGATGGTGCTGGGGGAGGAGGTGGGGGAGCACAGACCCCCTACCACCGCTCTGATCGAGGTCTAGAGCTGGGAGAGGGTGACATCGTCAGGAATCAGCGCCACAGGCTGGATGCCTACCCTGCGTGCCTGGCTAGAACAAACCATGCAGGGCCTATGCCCTGCCCAGCCCAGGACGAGTCCTGCTCCTGGCGTCATCCTATTGAAGTTTCCTCTTCCCTGCACCCCAGGTCTGTGTGCGTAAGTCTGATAAGCCCCGATCCATGTACGTGACCTTGGAAGTTGCACACGTCATCCTCTGTAGCATGCTAAAAATAACCAATCCAACCGCCGCTGCTGTCTCACCTGCCAGGCAGAAGTTAGCGAGCTGGGGCTTCGCCAGGGCAGGTTAGCAGAGGAGGCCTATCTGCTGGTTTCCAGGAACATCAGGAGGCCACACTGTACCACAGAGAAGGAGTCAGGGAACCTGAGAGGTGGAGAGCACAAGTACTTTCTGGATAGCCGTGCACCAGGCTCAGTTGCTTCACTGTCTCCTGGTTTAAAGAGGAAACTGATGCCGGGAGCAGTGGCCACACCTGGGGGTGCTGAGGCAGAAGGATCCAAAGTTTCAGCTCAGCCTGGACAACTTAGCAATTTAGCTGTGACCCTGTCTCAAAATAAAATATAGAAAGTGGATGGGGATGTAGCTCAGTAAAAAGGCCCTGGGTTCAATCCTTAGTACCACACGCACACACACACACACACACACACACACACACACACACAAGAAAAGGAAACCAGGGCTTGCACACCAGCACAGTTGGAGGGGGTGAACATGAATGCTACAGGGTCACACCTGCTTGTGCATGTACGCACTCTCCCTTCTGGAAATGTCACCTCCTCCAGCCAAACCAAGCGCTCAGGCTGATCCCATAACCAGCATTATCAGGCTGCAGAAAAAGGAGGGGTCCCCTTCCCAGGCTGTCATCCTTCCCTTTGTCTCCGCCCTTCCGGTTGGGAGTCATCAGCAACTTTGGGACATGCAGTTCATTTCCAGGGCAAACGTTCTGAATCACCTTTGTTTTTGTTTTTGTTTTTCCTTAAATCTGGGTGTATGGCTCTTTGGTAGAGCACTTGCCTAGCAGGTATAAGGTACTGGGTTATACCCCATCATCACTGCCAGCCAAAAGCGTGTGGAGGCAGGATGGGCTAAGCATGTGTGAATTGCCAAACAGGCAGCAGATGTATGTGTTTTCTTCCTTGAAAGGCCCTCATCTGCAAGACATAAAATGAATGCATGATACAGCAGAAGAACCAGGCTACCAATAAAATCTTTCCAAGCTGCAAATGTAAAAATTTGTAACACTTTATCCCACATGCAGATACTCCTAGGTAACCCTAGAACTTGGAATTTTCCAGTGACAGAGACATGATATCATTGTACTTCTGCTTTGTGTTATTTAGCTTTCCTGTCCCTGAGACACAAAACCTGACACCACAATTCAAAGAAGGAGAGATACAATTTGACCTATGGTTTGAGGGGATTCAGTTCATGGTCATCAAGCTCCAAAGCAGAAAAATCATGGTGGAAGAGCAGGACATGGAAGATGCTCAGTCCATGACAGTCGGAAAGCAGGACAGGGGACAGTGCCACGGTGGAACAGATGAGGGAGCAGATACAGCACCTAAGCTCACAGAAGGCTTTCCTAATCAGCTAGCACTCTTAATCCAGTCAAATTCACATGTCACTATTAATCGTCACAATCTGCCCCTTGTCAGCTTGACAACCAGACCCATCTCCTGAAATCATATTTAGTCTCCAAACTGTCCTAATCCAACGAGGGGACTAACCCTAAATCACACCCTTAACCCATGTTCACATACCCTGTATCCAGTCACCTCCAAAAAAGCATACCAGCCATAACAGATCCCAATTTTATCCATAGTTCCTTTTGGGCAAAAATTTAAGTTTTTCAAATTTTTCTGCTCTGCTTTTTATCCCTGATTCACACCATTAATTTGGTTGAAAGCAGCCAGTAAGTGGTATTCATACCATAGCCTGAATGCTGGCTACTTGAAATTTCCTCCAATTAATCCATTGGTCCATAGCCCTTAAACTCAGTCTCCTGCAAAGCTTCAGAATATGTGCAAAATGAAACAAATATATATATCTAGTCCAACACATCATCTAGTCCAACTCCTAAAAGAATCCCCATTTCCATCTGAAACCTCTTGAGCCTGGCCTTTAGTGTCCACATTCCTATCACCATGCTGGTCTTCTGAGCTGAGACCACAGTCACCCATCAAGCTCCGCCTATAGCATTTTAGGGCCTCTCTAGCCCATATCACCAAACCTTTGCAAACTGCTGTAAACTAGCTCCAAAGACTTCTGAACCACATGGTCAAGTACAGTCACAATGATCCCATTTTTCTGATATCATTTTCTGTATTCATCAACTTTCCTGTCACTGAAACAAACCAACCATTTACAGCTTAAAGAAGGAAAACCTCATCTGGCTTACAGTTTGAGGGGATCCAGTCCACAGTCAGCTGGCTCCAATGCAGACACAAGGTGGAGGGTGCTTAGTTCGTGGCAGCTGGGAGCAGAGCAAGGGAACAGCACAGGAGGACGGAGGCGAGGCCAGGCACGGTACCCAAGGAGACACTTCCGGGAGGTGGCGGAGTAAAGACCGTAGGGAGGAGCTCGCCCTCACCCCCAGATGGGGCAGATAACATGAAGAAGTTGGGACGGAAGCCTTTTCAGAAGCAAGAGCTTAAGCTTTAGAGTTAGATTTACTTTTTCCCTAAACCTGATTCCTTTTCTGTAAAATGGCTATGATAATACCCAACCAAAAAAAAGTTATTAAAATAATAGCTTTATGCAAAATACTTTACACTGTTATTATGTTTATGTGTTTTCACTTTTCTCCTCCCCACACCGGTGAAGTGATTAGGGCTTAATTATTAAGCAACTTGCCCAAAGCCACACAGTCAGTAAATGCAGCAGCAGAGCCGAGGTCAGCCCCCAACTGCTCCCCACCTGCCTGCTTTTAGCCACCATGTGACGCTGCCTCACGCTTCACCTCAGACGGTGTGGTTCCCGGTGGCACCACACTCTGGCCTCAGAAATCCAAGTGCCTGCCTCAAGCAAGGAATGAGACACCTCCTGTCTTAATCATTCTGGGACAGACATCCCCTCTCCCGCCCTCCGCCCTGATGCTGTAATGATGGGTCGGGCAGCCCTTGCCACCTGACTTGCTGCCGCAATGCTGCCAGTAGGTACCCAGGCCCTGGAAGGCAGGGCTACAGGCTCCCTACCCTCAGCAGTCCTCTGGTACCTTCAGAGCTACGTCCTCAGCACTGTGGGGCAGGTACCCTGTCCTCACGTAAACACCTCTGGGGTGTGTGGGGACAGGGAGCGGGCAAACAACTCGCTTCCTCTCTGTGGATCCTGCCCACACCAGGTGCAGGTGCCTGAGGTGCAGACCCTGCTCAGCCCTGACGTCACCTGAGGCAGCTGGAGGGAGGTAGGGGCAGGAGCAACCTCACGATGTCTGACATTTGTATGAATTTCGCCTACTTAGCTTTGAGCACAAGCTGTAGTTTTGATAGAAAACAACTTCAACAGTGATACACAATGAATATCGTTATCTTCTTACAATGGATATTGATTTCAATTACGCCCAGTGAATGAGACATCTTTTTCATGGTAGCTCCTTGTCACATTATTCACCTTCAATTCAGCTACTTTTCACGCATTTACTGATTTTTTTCCAGCTCAGTGCCTGGCTGGCAAGTGCAAGGTTGTGAGTTTGATTCCCAGAACAAAAAAAAAAAAAAAAAGGGCACAAGAATTTTTTTTAAATCTGAAATATATTTTTCATAATACATTGTTAAAAATTCACGACATAAAAATATCATATGTCAACATTAACTCATAATTCCTTCCCTATAACTGTCGCTTTGAGAGGTTTTTTTCAGACTTCCTGAATTTTAATGCATACATAAATATAATCAATATGAAATTGGTCATTTAAATATACTGTGCTGAAACTTACTTTTTTTCTTTGACATTCCATCAGAGGACAACTATCCATAGCCATACATGCAAATACAAGCATAATTTTTAATAACTTTTTAGTATTCTGTTGAATATATAAGCACCCATTTTTAAAAAAATCAATACTATGTTAACAGATATTTAAGCTATTTTCATGTTTGCTATTCTAAACAAGACAAAAACAGACATTCTTATCTGATTATTTACTTAAGATAAATTCCCAGAAGTGGAGAAGCTGGGCCAAAGGTTGCATATTTTACATTTTGATGTCTATTTTAGGCCACCTTCTAGAGAGGAGCCTAGTAAGGAAGTCCTGTGTAAAGAAGGCCCCTTCTCCTGTGGGTTACGGCAAAGGGTTACACTCCACTCTCCACGCCAACCGTGCCACTTCATCCTGGAAAGACACCTCTGTCACGCCTTCTTGTGACTCACCCCAGCCCAAAGCCAAGCAAATCCTTGAATTAGGACAAATTTTAAATTCCAAGCATTTCCCCTTTCAGTTTGTAGGAACCTCTTTACTTCTGTTAATTTGCAAAGGAGTGGGAAAAATAACTGCAAAGGGCCACTTAGTTCTTATCTTCCTAAAACGCTCTTTTTCGAACCTGGTTTAGTTCTTAGCCTCCAAAAAAAAAAAGTTCAGTTCTGAATCTAGCATTCAAGATTTTGTACATGCAGCTCTCAAGCTATCTACCTCCTAAAAAACCCCATTTTTCTCAAATGAGATAGAAGTTGTTGCTTTTCAAGCATGTTACGATTTCCTGATTTATGTCTCTGTCATTAAAAAGCTGCAATTCTTTGTTGATTATTATATGCCAAACACCAAACTAAGTGCTTTAGATAGGTATTTTAGGTAATTCTTACAAAAATCCAATGAGGTAGATACTGTTTCTCCACATCCTACATATCAAAAAATGAAGCTCTTCACCCGAAACCACATGGCTGCTCAAAGATGAGCCCCTGTTGGCAACAGGGTCATCCTGCCTAACCCAACCTTTCCGAGTTTCATCTCTCTCCTGCACTGCCTGATACCCTGCCCTCTCCAGCTCCCGACAACCCAAATCCTCCAGGGTCTCGGGTGCAGCTCAGTGGTGCAGCATGAGCTTGCAGACTCAGTCCTGGGGTGAATCAACATAAAAGGCAGATGCCATCTCTCTACTGCGCCCCCACTTCCGGCCACCTGGGAGTTCCCTTGACTCCTTCTGAATCTGCTCTCAGGAAAGCTGAAGGTCTCTGTTCCCTTGTCACCAGCTGGCCACCCCTCTGCTGGGTTAATTCCTTCTGCTGCTCAGCCCCTCACTGGGGCCTGCCATGGGCAGGGCCAGGCCCCACCAAGTACTGACTTGACTTTTAGGGACTCGAGACTGGTGGTGCTTTCAGCGAGATTGTGAGCAGGGTCTGGGTGGGCACCCATTCTGCCCCTGAGACTCTGATTGAGGATGCCTTGCGAAAGGACAGTAGTGTAGAAGGAGGGGCAGACCACAGATCCCTCCTTCACCCTGTGCACCACCTGTTCTAAAATTCCTTCCTTCCTGCTCCAAAGCACCTCTGTTACCAGAAGGCTGCTCTGGCCAGATCCTTTATCTCTGTGTCCTGTCTACTTGGAGAAAGACAAACAGCCCAGCAGGCCCCGGAAAACCCCACCTATGTTCTCTCAGCATGAG